AGAGCTCAAGGCCGGATCTCTCGTCGACCTCTATAGGCAACCTTCACCGAAGGACACGCCAGGATGGAGAGGACCAGCAGTACTTCTCGATATCGACAGAGACGTTGGCACTGGCATCGTCAAGTGGCAGCGCGTGGCTTACCAAGTTCCCCTACGACACCTTCGATCTCACGTTGGCTTTGTGTCTCTCATGTGCTGCTTTGCCAAGTCTGCTGAAGCCTACCACCTACAACGCGACAAACAGCCCAGAACATCGTCTTACCGCGAGATACATCACATCCTGTTTTCAGACGGCCAGAAGTACGTATCCACGGACGCACGCTCTGCTAACATCGGCCTGGTGGACGCTGACGAGTATCCATCTGAAGGCTTCACTGTTGTTCACTCGACGCTGGCTGTGCAGGAAGGCAAGGAGCTCACCGAGCACCTTCGCATCTTGATGGACGCGGTGGACAGCTCTGTGTTCAACAAGGCTTTTGTCGTGGGCAGATACTGGAGCAGCGACGCCGAGAAGTGGATCATCATACCGACAGGAGCGGACACGTCGCCACCATTAATGTTGAAATACGCTCAGGTCATCTCGGCGAAGTTCTTGCACCTACCTCGTCTGGATGGCATCCGCTATGGCACGGGCTGTCTCAAGGTACCTGCCATGCCCATGTGCAAGTACGGCGTCCTGTTCTCCTGGGAGCGACGCAACAGTCTACGACGCACGATTACGGAAGTCAGCCCGGAGACAGGCCTCAATCTTAAACGACGCCATGGTGGGCTATGGGGAGAGACCTCGTTCGTGCTCTTCTTCTGCTACGAGATGCCTGCAGACGACCGGCCTAAGACCTACGAGGTTCCGGACTTCAGCGACCTGTCCAGCATCCTGCCGCCCGACACGGACATCTTTGACGACTTGAGCATCACGCTGCCCTACGACCTCGACGACCAGGACCTCGGGCCTCAGGACCAGGAGCCACCTCCGCATCCGCCTGACGACGACAGACAGCAACAGCGGAGAGATCGATCGCTCTCACGGTCCAGGGTCGGTCGGTCCAGGAATGGTTCTATTCCAGCAGATGCCAGTCGATCCAGAGACGACCCGATTGCGGCAGAAGTTGATCAGCGGCCTCCTCCTCCTGACGACCCACCTGATCGTCAAGATCGACGAACTAATCGATCGAGGAGCCGCCACAGCAGCTCTGGCCGCAACGACACACCATCGAGCATCACTCATGATCAGATACCAGGTCGCCCTGACATTTCTGGCAGAGATGATACACCCTCCAGCATGGAAGAAGATCGACCCTCAGTCGGCTTCGATCTGCGACCTGAGCATTATCGACTGGACGACTCTCAAGAAACTGTTCAGTATCCAGAGGCGGAGCAAGAACAACCAACTCTTGACTATCCGGCTCCGCAGGCTCCAGAGGCTGACTCACTACCCCGTCTACCGATTCTCGAAGACGCTGGATTTTCAGACCGTTCACGCTCGCGTCAGTGGGATCCAACGAAGTACCCGACCACTCCGAATACACCACCGGTCGGGGATACCTTTGGGGTCAAGCACGACACCTCTCATGAGTCTCCACCAACCAAGAAGGCCAACACAAGATCTACGTCATCGAGCTCAAGATCACGGGGCCCACAGGCATCAGCATCATCTTCGTCAGGGAGCGCTCCTCCTCAACCTCCTACTGATCCATCGCAGCCTTTGCTGCCGATAAAGGAATACGCTCCCGCTGAAGAATCACCAGCAGACAAAGAAGAAGCCCCGACGCTCGAGTACAGCCAGCCTTCTTGGGACGACACACTACCATCATACCGAGATGATATGGCTCCGCCCTTCTACTTCGACAAGGTAAACGATCACACGCTCTGCGGGTCATATTTCCAGACACCAGAAGACAGACACGACTTGATGGATGACATGTTTACTGAATACGACACCGAGATGAAGGAGGCAGGAACTGCCTTCACAGCCATGGCCTCTCCCTCTGCACAGGACTACTTAGCATCCAGCGGCACCTGGACTGCTACAGCGGCAGATGTCACTCTGCCTGGGCCTTGGCAGCGTAGCACCTGCTTCTGGATGGACGTTCGCGTCGGCTCCTGCTTCAGGGTTGATTCTGAGACGGACAATCTGACCCCTGAAGAGATGGTTCGTTTCGAGGCAGACATCCTGAAGGCCGACCGCTCGGAGCTAGCCAATTTCGTGAATCACGACGTATTCAAGACGCGCAAGTTCAGCTACTCGGACACGCTACCCATCAATTGCGTCTGGGTGCGCAAGTGGAAATGGAAGCAGGCAGCCGATGGAAGTTGGACCAGAGTCATCAAGAGTAGGCTCTGCTGCCGCGGCTTCCTGGACCCACAGAAGCATCTACTAGCCAAGCACAGCACTACTGCCACAAGACTCTCTCAGAAGCTCCTCGTCAGTGATGCGGCCAACAGCGACTGGGACATCGAGGAATGGGACGTTGACAGTGCTTTTCTCCAAGGGTTCAGCTTCGAGCACCTGCATGAAGCGTGTCGGGCACTCAAAGTTCCGATGCCTGACATCAAGAGGAAG